GGTTGGCTCCAAGTCCAGCTTTGGCAGGTTCTAGTTGAGACAGCTCAGGGCAAATGACTCCAGCCCTCCGGGTCTCAGATCCACCATCTATAAGGACATATCTGGTAAATGTTAGTCCCTGATCCCCATTCCTTCCATTCTCCTTCCTTCCTGCTAATTCCCTTCCTTTACCTAGCTACCCTTTCTTGTTCTTCATCACAAGAGAAAGGACCAACATGCTCCTCTCTACTTTCTTGCATGATATAGTTTGTATTTTACGTGCTGCCTTAGACTGTCTTGGCCTCACCTGGATCCTTAGTCCCTTGGTCATCAGGTACTAAAAGCTCTAGATACTTCTGCCACTGTTGCTTCATTGTCTTGCGTCTATCCTGTCACTCCCACCCTGGGAAGTCATTCCAGAACTTCCTCTACTGGACTTATCTTGGCAGGAACCCTGACCAGACGCTTGGGGACCCACTCAGACTTTGACACCTCCCATGGCTTCCAGAATTTGAAGAGGACCAAGGTAACAAGTTATGGACTCTGACTTCCTCAGTAGCTGTCTAAAGAGATCAGGAGATGCAGTTCCCTGTGAGTGTAAACTATCACAAAAGGAAGCAGAAATAGGATGGTGCAAGTGCATCCATTCCTCAACTTCTGTCTTCTAAAAGTCTGAACAACTTGTCCAAAGATCTCTGCAAGGCTCAGCCATCAGTTACACTCAGGGGAGCAGGGTCCTGCTCAGTAATGCATCACCTTGTTTTGTTTTCTCCCATTCCTTCATCTCTCACTTCTCCCCTCATTCTGTCTTCTCTGGGATTGAATCTCCCAATAATACTGGCATGTAATACATAGTTTTCAGTGTTCAAGAGAACTGTGCTGAGAAACCCATGGGCTACAGTTCTCAGGATCTCCTGCCAACTGTGTTCTGTGGAGGGTTGGCAAAAATAAAATGATCTAATGGGAGACTGAAGAGAAGGAAAGAGATAATCTAAGGTATCCTCATCTTCTCCACTTTACAGGATATCTCGGGTAGAGGCTCAGTTTTTCCTGATGTGGGAAATGGATTCCTAGCATTACTCATCCTTGAGTTGCCTTTCTTATATTAAAATCCATCTACCAAACTGTACGGCATGATCTCTTTTCTTACTGACTAGATCCTTGTAAAACATACAAAAGTAAAAATTTAATTTTAGTTAACTGTATTGGTAGCATCCCTAAGATATATATTTCTAAAAATTAGAAAACTGGGCTTTTAAGTGCTTCAACTAAAAATTATCATAAGAATGTTCTGTGGGTTATCAGAAAGGAGATCAAATTATTGTTTTAACTTTTAAATAGCATTGATTTTTATGAAATATGATAAAAAATACAGTAACTCTTTAAGGAAAAATAAAAAAGTATTACACTAAAAAACACAGTGCTATTAATCTCCCACAAAATACTCCTCCTCACTTCTAAGACATTTATCGCATTGTGGTTGTCCTTTTCTGAAATAGTTCTGGCAATACTTTTTTATGAGTGACTTTTCATTGGCTGCTGTAATGTTCTTTCTGAATTGGTTCAAATCATCTACAGCAATTTCTGTCAAATAAAATTATTACAATGTATTCTCATCCATCTCATTCACTGTATCTGGCACCATGTGACATCTGGCTCTTCCCATTACCCACAATTACCATGGAAAGGAGACATTTTGAATCCACAGGACATGGAGGGAGCCACAGCAGGATAGCTAAAGACTGAAAGAAGACTTGCAGAACTTCAGAAAGTGGCAAGAAAGATAGGATAAGTGTGCTTAAAGCAAGGGAACTACTCTGAGGGGGATTAAATGCAATGTGTCCTTTACTGTGATAAACTTTCTTTTATTTTAAACATTCACCATATGTTTTGATTACACCTCATAAAATGAGTAGTTTTTCTTAAAAGCTATATTTCCCAGTTAATAAGAGAACATGTCTTACAATCACCCTGTAAGCTGCCTCTCTCCAGTTTTCACAGTGGTTACTGAGATCTGACTCTCAGCATCCTGAGCTTGGTAGGTGGCAAATTAGTGGTGTTAGAATGTAAGTGCTATTATTTAGTAAATGGGATTCAGGTTTCATTTGTTTCTGTACCTCCCAAGGTGCTTATGGGAAATAAACATCCCCCTTACCTCTACTCCAGGTGCTACTGAGAACAGGCATATTTTTTCCTGTGGGATACAAAATATTTCTAAAATTGGCCTGCAAGAGATTTGCTTTTTTCTAGAGTTCTCAGTAATGGCTTAGCAATGATTTTTGGGATTCTCCTTCAGTAACACTGAATGGATACAACACAAGCATGATGCAAGAAAGACTTCAGTATCTAGGCAGAGAGATGAATGCAGACATCTTTGCTTCTGAACTTGGGGAGAAAAGGGGCCTCACTCCCAAAATGTGCATGTGGAATACACATGCTATGTGAACGCCCATTCACGGCCTGCCACTAGTCAGAGTAACAGGAGGGAATTGTGACAGGGAACTGGAGTACAGTGAATCCTTGCAACAACTTGTTTTTTTTTTTCCTGCCAGTTTTTTTCTGTATATCCTGAAAAACCAAACTTTATACTTCTGTAAACTGTTTCACAATAGATGCCTTCACAGCAGACTGAATACCCGCACCTGTACCAGAATGAAGGCCTGGGACTAGTGCACGAGCCCAGGGTTTCTATGTTCTCCTCACTATGTGACTTCAGCCTCACGTATGCTGGCTTTTTTTCCCATCTTGAAAAGGTGATGTAACCAGAATCCATTGGTCTGACATCTAACGGTAACAGTCAAGGAGAAGCTCAGGGCTAATGTATTCTAGAGGACACTTGCATACCACAAGATGGCCTTGAATGAAAGGACTCCATCTGGACAAAAAGAATGGATGTTTCAGAAGGAGGGCTATTAGCTCGTGCACACTGTGTCTGGAGTCACACATGTCACTGACGTACTCCTGCATGTATTGTTAACTAATGGTGTTTCCATGTTTCCTGAATTGCCCCACTCTATCTCAGCTATGTAATGTAATGATTTCCTTAGTCAAAAATCCTCATTACCACTATATTAGTCTGTCTTGTGTTGCTATAACAAAATACCACAGATTGAGTGATTTACGAAGAACAGATTTTTAGATCTCAGTTTTAGTGACTGAAAGTCCAAGATTGGGCAGCAGTGTTTGTTTGGTTGCTAGAGAGTGTCCCATAGGCCGTATCATAAACTGGAGGAGAACTGGGCATATGTAGAAGATGCTAAGCACATGTGGTGGACTCCATTTATAGCAACCAAACTCATGAGAACTAAATCAGTTCGTGAGACCACTGAGGTTGATGCCACTATTGATCTACTCATCTCCTGAAAGGGTTCCACAGCTTCAAGGTTCCACCACCTCTCAACATCACAGAGAAGACAGAGCTTCCAACATACGAATTTTTAGGGCGCATACTCAAGCCATATCCCAACCACAGCATCCACAAATTCAAGGACTAAATGTGGCCATGGAAGGAGGCCTCTAGCACCCTGTCATAGTCAAGAATGGAGTGTACCTTGATTCATAAATTATCATGACAATTATTAAATTCTTTTTCTACAGAGAAGGCTCAAGATATTTAAAACTAGACTGATTTGTCTTAGAAGTTTGTTACTTCCTCCAAGTGGCTGAAATATTAAGAGTTTGTTTAACAGCACAGTTCTCAGATACCAAAACTGTCACTGGTTCCAAATCTGCCACTATTTTTAGAACATTAAAATAGCCCTTCTCCAGCATCCACACCAAAACATACATACCATGAGATGAGATCCTGGCCCTTGGGACCTTTCAGCATACTTAGAGCATCTCATCTAATGTTACCCTGTAGCTCCCAGGCAAAGACTGGAAAAGCAGCATGGTGGCATGGTGAGAGGGCCAGAGCCTCCACACGATCTACTCCAGCCCCAGCTGTGCAGTGCAACATTTATTTGACAGCCTGTCTGCTCCCCAAGATGAATCACAGAAAATTAGAGACAGGGAAGGGCCTATTAGTTCATCTATTCTGTACCCCTGGCAGCTCACCAGCCCTCCCTTATGCCCCATTTCCTTCTCAGTTTGCTTTTAAATAGCATGATACAGACAGAGCTGCTTCCATGCCTCCTTCATGGAGAATTCTTTCTAGCAGATCCAGCAAATGCCCAATATTATTGTTTACTTACTCTAATTGTATATATACATTAATGTTAAGGTTTCTCACTTGGCCCATCTCACCCAGCAATGAAAAAGTCACTGGACATCATTAGAAAGTAGGGACTCTCTGTGTTAGAAAAAAAATGTATTTCATAAGAATCAAAGGACTTGGTAAAGAAGAGAGAAAGGATGAGGAAGGACTTCTGTGTTACCTCATTTCAACTTCTTTTATTTTAGTTACATTCTTATTTAGTATTGTTCAGCTTTTGCCTTTTTAAACAATAGCTAGGACTATGACTAAGCAGTGTCATTGGTTTCCACATTTACTTTGTTTCAAAAATTTTAACTTTAAAATATTTACTTGAAACAATTGTATCTATTCAAGGCGTACAATATGAGGTTTGATAAATGTATGCATTGTGTAGTGATTATCACACTCCATTAGCACATCCATCACAACACTTGTTGTACAATAGATCCCTTGAATTTTCTTTAGTAATAGCTGGAACTATGACTAAGTAGAATTATTGGTTTTGGTTTCCCACATTTACTTCTGCTTCACTTTTTAATTTGATTACTCATCTTCTTTCTGTCTACATTATATGTAAGTTTCCAGCCCATCATTACAATTAAAACAGAAGCTATTTTCAAATATCCTAATAGTTAACCTATTCCACTTCTTAATCTTTTCTGTCTTTTAAATTTTATGTAAATATAAGACCAAAACAGTAAGCCTGGCACAACCTTTCTGGATAGTAGATGAATGTATGAATAGATGAATGTATGCATTTTTCTCTACTAGGACTCAGGGAGGAAATACTCTCAGAAATACTTTCCAAGAAGGAATCTGCACTTACTTTAATCTGTCCTTTCAAGCAAGGCTCACTGCACACGGACCGCACTACTCCACTCTTATTCATCTGTATTTTGTAATCATCAATGTTCAGCACGCCTTCATGCCAGGTTCCAACGTGCACATAGTCATAGCGATTAGCTTCTGTGTACTGCAGATTCATGATATCATACCTGCAAAGCAAACCACATTCGAGTCTTACAGGATATGGACATAATGTAGAAAACAAAGAATTTGGTATCTAAGTTTTAATAGTGAGAAGAGAAATAAAAGCTAGAATCATCACACATCCCAACACCAGCTATTGGGCTGAGGATTTAGCTCAGTGGTTCCACTGCCTGCCTTGCAAGCGGAAGGACCCGAGTTTGATCCCTGGTTCAAAAAAAAACAAAACAAAAAACCACCCAACACCAGCTATTGCAAAAATTTTAGTTTAATTATGTTTCCTTTGATTTTCTAGAATGTATTTGTGTATCATCTACATTTCCTGAAGAGAATATTACTCCTATCATAGTCTCTGCTTATACTCCAAAAATAATTCTGTGTTGATCATTTCCTTCAAATCATTCTTCATTAAATTATTCTTTGAACAAGTAGCAATCCATGAGAACATCAATTTATATATTTGATTGCTTATATTCCAAATATCCTTTTGACATTCACTTTCCATTTTTATTATACTAGATTAAAAGAGGGAGTCTCTATGGAGTTTGGATTTTTTAGGTGCTGGAAGAGCAAATAATCTGAAAAAGGTAGATTTAATTAGTAGGGATGTTGGAAATTTAATATCTAATACATGAACACTTAAACTGATCTCTTTCCAGATTAGGACAAACATTTTTGAAGTCAAATAATTGGTGTCAGTTTTCCCAGTAATTTTAAATGGAGAAATTTGACTAAGGGCAAAATATACATGTAGATCTTTTCCCTGGAGTAATGTGTATCTTTTTATAAAACCAAATCTTTACTACAGCCTGAGTGTTTTCTGGGGGCCAGACTTCATTTTTCCAGGGCAGGAAGCACAGGAAGTTCTCCAATGCAATGGGAAGAACAGAGGACCTGACATCCAATTGTGTGAGCTGGAGCCCTTCTAACATTTCAGTAGTGCCTAGGAATGTCACCAACCTCTTTAAGCTTCTTGGGGTTCTTGGGAAGTATATGTACATAAGGTATGTCACGAAACTTCTTTAAAATTGGGGTGAATGTATAGTCCCTATGGGCCAGATGTTGGCATCTTAAAATTCCTATCCTCATACCCTACCCCCCAAAATGATAGTATTAGGAGATTGGTCTTTGGGGTGATTAATAACGAATCCAGAGTCCTCATGAATGAGATTTGTGTCCTTATAAAAGGCAGCACCCCAAGACCTCTTGCCTCTTCCACCACATGACACAGTTAGAAAGGGCCATCTGTGAAGCACAAAGCAGGACCTCATAGACGTCAGATCTGCTGGTGCCTTAATGCTGGACTTCCTGGCCTCCAGAATTGTGAACAACAAATTTCTATTGTTAATAAGCCACATAGTCTACTGTATTTTGTTATAGCAGCCTCAGATAGACTAAGACAATAGGTACGGTGATATTGTGGAATCATTTATAGCTTTATTTCACAAATAATTCAAAATACTCTGGTTATTTCCATTTCTATAAGGAAACTGAGGAAAATATTTGTGTTGGCATGGCCATTTGTCTCTTAGTCATTGAAAATTCTCTGGTATTCTTACATCTTATTCCTATGTTGTTATTCACTCCAAACAGACTGAAACTCATGTGGCAGTGTGTTCAAACTCTGTTTAGCTCCCTTCTTCTTACTGGGTCCACAGTGGAATTCTTTTTTTTTTGCACTATCTATGCAGAGTTCTTGCCTTCCTAGGCTGCAATGAATCTCATGGTCTCTAGCTCTTTATGCCTGACCCAAGGAATTAATCAACAGACATTCCTCTTCTTCAGCTGTCTTCCTCCCACTTCCCTTCTAATCCATTCTGGAATCTTTCCTCTTTAAACTTCACTCAGACTCACAATCTTTCTTAGCATAGCACTCTGGGAAGGTACTGCCAATCAGGCCTGAGTTGACTTCTGGAAACAATTGGCTATATCTGGCCTGATTCTTTATCTAGACAGTGATTACCAGCTCATTGGCATTTCTGCCTACACTTAATGTGTAAATGTACCCTGTTGTCCACAGGGTGGTTTCTGGTTTCTCCATATCCAGATTCTGGGAGATTCTACAAATAGCTAACTCTTAAAAGAAAGTGGACTTGGGGAGAGTGAACTCAGTGAGCAAAATTTACTAAGAGTGAAAACAGAGTATGATGCACCTGGAGCTCATTATTCATCTTTTTTAATATAAATATCTTTTGTCTATAAATCAGTTTCATAGGACTTTTATTTCAACTTCTTCATTTGCTCTTTCATAAGGGAATTGATTCACACTTCATTAACATTTAAAAACTGAAAAATTCACAGAATTTTGATATGAAAACACATTTTTAAGAAGTTTCAAATACTGGAGGAAAAAATAAGAAGAAAGAAATACGAGAAGATACCAAAGGAAAAAATACTGACTTACTAAAATGTGTGCACAGTGTGTGTTAATGAGTGCTGCTCTTTCCTCTTGACCCCAGGCTTCCTATGGGGCATATTGGCCTTTATTTGGAATATTCTCATGCTGTAAATTACTCTTCAGAGCATCCTCTCAATGCACTGGTTTATGTTGTGTGATGATTAAATAAAGTAATTACAAGAAGGACCCAAAGCATGAGTGATGGTATGGCAGGAGCAGGAAGCCCCCGGAGGTGGTTGGAACGGTAGCTAAACAGATTCAGCTGACCAACTTCAAGCAGGAGGCAATGATCCCCAAAAAGGCACAGAGGGGAAAGCTCTTAATTTTAATATGTAATTAAACATGGAAGAGAAGCAAGCTAAAATTGTGCACCTATGTTTTGAATAACAGATAGAAAAAGGAGAAGACCTGTAATTTATTGGGTATAAAAAAATGCATCTGGCCCTGAACTAGGGACGCTGTATGTTTTCTTTTGCAAATTGTGTGGGAAGGTTTATGCTGCAAGTCTGACCCGGTACTGAGCCTCTCTAGGTGGTCCCTTTCTGAATTTCAGGGCAGTTTGTTCCTCCTGGTACCATGTCCTGAGGTGCTCACCATCCCAAAGCTTTATACAGTCTCATGCCCTGGCTTATCCATCCCACTCACATTCCTCCAATCAAAAGCTGCTCCCACCTAACTGGCAGCTGAGAAGGATTCCTGTAAATGTGCTATTTTATTTGCTGACAGTGACATATGTATCCTTCCTAGAGCTGTGGGATTTTATCAGGGAGGTTCCCACTTAGTCTCCATAAGGGGTGATCTATATGTAGAACATGAAGCATCCATCGAAAGGAGCAATACACAGAGAATTGCTTAGGGTCATACAGTCCCTTTTAGTACTTTTACCATGACATGGAGAAGGTTGCCAGTGATTTTGCCTAATTTCAGGATTAGCTAAAACGCAGCACGATGTGACAAAAGATTACAAGCCTCAGAGTCAGACTACTCTTCTCTCACTACTTGCCTTCTGTGTGACTGTAGGTGACTTGCTTAGTTTATCTGACACTGTTCTATTATACATAAAAGGATAATGATACACGGAAAGCAGTGAGAATTAAGTGACTTGATGATCCATTTTAACACAATCTGTGCCTTCCTAGAAAGCTCTAACTCTGCAAAATCTTAGCCTGAAAAACAATAGGGGCTATGAGGTTGTGAGAGTGTAGAGGCCAAGCTGCGGACATTTCCCCTTTCTGTTGAGACTTTTAATTCTTCTGCCCTTCTAATTATCTCTTTCCTAAGAAAACTGGTGTTATTGAAACTGGAATCATTTTCTATGTACCAGTTACCAGTGGGCTCACTGGTGGCATCAAAACAAGTGTTGCAGAAGAGATTGTATGTAAAATGGCTTGGAGGGAAATATATGTGTGTGTGCGTGAGCGTGTACACACAGATATTTAGTGGGGTTTTTTAGCTTCTTATTTGATTAATTCTTTGAAAGTCATTAGAGACCATATCCTAGAAACAAAATTCTTTCCTTTCTCTTTCCAAGAGAAACATAAAATAGCTCGAGAAAAGGCTGTATATGTATAGAATATGGTTCTCTTCACCTACTAAATACTTTCAGTGGGTGCAGTATCCAAGTATCCATGTTTCCTGACCAGTATAGTATGGCGACTAATCCATCAGAAAGATGCTGAGTGGGGCAGGGTGTGGCTGGGAGTCTGCTGTTGGCCAGGCATACTCTCTGTATGATCTCTTAGACTTGCAGACATGTTCCAGGCCTTCTGAGGAAAGGAAGGATCAGGTGACAGCTGGGTAGGGGGTCAGCACTGGAAGGATGCAGAGTTCTTGTGGTTTACCAAGAAAATTTTCAATGTTTTAATCATGAGTGTGGTCTTTGGTAATATCCATCTGATACTGACTCTGTCTTTTTAGTATTCAGCTGAATCTAACTTCATGATACCCAGACATCAAGAAACCAAAGAGAGCCCTACTTGCCATCTGTCCTGTATAGAAGGCTCACCAAGGGATTCAGGGCCATTATAGAGAAGACCACATTACCTTCCAGGAGCATCTCCTTTCTCATCAAACCACACCTCCTCTCCAGACACGCCGATGAAGGAGGACTTGATGAGGAAGTCTAGGAGCTTTCTGCCATCGATGGGCTTCATGGCATCACAGAGGCCCACGTGGCCAGGGCAGAGGGCGTGGTGCATGTTTTGCAGCCCATGTGCCATCGCATAGATGGCATTAATGACAAACCCCATCTTACTGTCTTGGACGTAGTTTTCTTCTAAGCTTTCGTTGCCTGTAATAGTAAAAATAGATCTTACCAAGGGCACATTCATCAAGACCTTGCATGCTTAACAGTCAAGTGCTTTCAGGGCTTTCAGGGAAGGGAGAGAGGAAAAGTCCACCTGTGTAAGCTTTGTGCTTGTGACCATCTGTGGTATGTTCCACCTGCAAATAGTTCATTCAGTTTCATTGTCTCTACTCGATAATGGATTTATGAGATATAAAAGGAGCTCCATACAAGGTAAAAATAAAGAATTTTTATAAGCCAAACATAGCGGTATACACCTATAATTCTAGCGCTCTGGAAGGCTGAGGCAGGAGGATTGTGAGTTCAAGCCCAACCTAGGCAACTTAGAGACTTAGTAAGAACCTGTCTGTAAATAAAAATAAAAATAAATAGATAAAGGGGCAGGGATACAGCTCAGTGCAAAGACTTTGAGTTCAATCCCCAGGACTGAAAAATTTTTTTCATATAAGACAATTCTTAAGGGGCAATAAAATTAGCTCTTATTCTCTTTTGGTTCCTTGGAACTCAGATTAAAAGTCTCTCCCTATCTCATGGTACTGGAAGAGCATTCTTTTATTCTCTATGACAATCTGCAATTAATAGTAAGTCAGTGTTTACATTACCAGCTCCCTGACATTTTCTTTTGATGATCTCACTATTTTTATCATTTCTAAGGACACAAAAACCCAGAATTAGAAGAAGACATCAGTATGCTGTAACATCTTCTTATTTATGGTTGGCAGTACAGAAATATTTAAATAAGATTGGCTAATTATTAGAAACCTAGGTGAAATATTTCTTGATAGAAGTCACACTACCCATTAATTTTAGCCTTTTGGTTTTACCTGTACATTTCAAAAGCCCTGTGATCATTTCTGCCCAAGTAAAAGAGTTCCCCGAGTAGCAAAGAACTTCACAGCAACAGTAATGTGTTAAACCTAACCTGCATATTGGAAGTTGAAGCTTTAGTACTTGCACACGGGTGAGAAATTTGGAGATCATTTGGGTTTGAAAAATAAAGGTAACAAGTTTGGAAAATAACATAGATTGGTGTACACCATTGGCATAATTCAGAGACTTTGCACTTAGTTTCAGAAATCTGCTTCTTTCTGCATTGGGCTTTCCTTCACCCACTTGACTGATAGTGAGGGTCCTTTTTGACCTATGTGTGCTTGAGGTTCTAAAGGTTGGGAAGGTTGGCAGACTCAGCTGTTGGCAGATTCATGGTTTTGAGAACAATCTGAGATTCTCTGCACTTCCTACCAGCTCCTTCTTTGTTCCAGTTTAAGCATTCATTGCACGCTAATGTTCTTTCTTGGGCTAAAAGCTAGCAGATGGTACATAAGAAGGTGGAGATCTTGAAGTCTTTAGAAGGAGTGGTAAAGAGTTTTGACCTTGATATTGAGCTTGGGATGAAAATAGAAATTTCTAAAGAGTTCTATTTAAAGGATGCTCTTCTTGGATGTGGTTGAAAATGTGCAAAAGATACAAGTATGTCAACCCCAAGAGTAAGATACAAAATACTCAGGCCAGGTAGAAGAGGAAAAAGATTCAATTCCAATCCATCTTCCAATTTTGCTTGATAGGACCTTATTAAAACAGAAATTTCCTTAAATAGGACACACATGTGTCTCTGGTGTGAGAAACTGAAAGTGTAAAGAAGGACTAAGTGTATGATAGGTAATGTGAAATAGGAAGAAAAGGGGCAAAGGGGAAAGAAGTGGGAGGGCTATGGGAAAGGATAGAAGGGAATAGGATTAACATGAGAAAATGGAAGAATAGGAACAAAATCTTTGTAAATAGGGAGGAATGGAGGGGTTGAAGGGAGGGC